GCACTCCACAAATATTCAACTCGGATCTCTACTTCTCATTCCCAAAAGAGTCTTTTGATTTACTCTGTGCCTGTATTTATACTCTTCATATTTTTTCTGTATTATTTTCTAACTCACTATTTTCTTTGGACAAAAGTGCCCAAAGCTTTACGAATCAATTTGCGAATAAGGCAACATAGATAAAACATAACAGAAAATGTTGTTAACAAAAGTACATACAGATTGGACAAAGTATTTATTCACATGGGTCATTTGAATTTGAATCAAATGGAAGGCACTGACTCTATAGAAGTACAATCAGTACTCTTTAATCAATACGTAACTTTGCAACACAAGGCTGTTACTAAGAAATGAAAGATTTTACTTGGCACCTTTGGTAAACATTCTAAAACAACAGAAAAACAGCATATATATAAATAATTTAAATATTGAATATTGTTTCCAAAGAGCCAAAGCGTAATATCTATAAGAATACCATTTGCTCTCTCTGTTTTAATATATTTATGTTTTAGTCAGTAACGCTACCCATAATAAGTTTTTTGCACAGGTATATATTCATTACTTTATTTCTTCGATTTTCCTTTATGAAGGGCACAAAAAGAGTAGAAGGAAAGGCTCCAGAAGGTTCAAGTTGCATCACTGAAAATGCATCAGAGTTGCCCTCAACTCTCAGCACGTTATTAATCTCCCTACAAATTGCAAAACTATGGTCATGTTATCTAGAAAAGACTTGCCCAGAACATCTTTGAAATAAGAATGTTATATTATTCCTGCAGTCAATTGTTAACTCAAGTATTAACTAAAAGAGATACATAATTGAAAATGAGCTCTTTTGCAAATATTGCATACATTATGTAAAATCCATTGCTAATGGCTTCTACTATGACTAGAAATGGTATAATAACTAACCACAGGAAACTAAAAAATAGTTCCAATACATTTATGAAAAAATAAATGATTCACTTTCAGCTGGGTTAAGTCACATCCTTCTACTGGATAAATCACTTCCTGGTGTAAATGAAATGTACATTTGTAAACTGCATTAACTCTAAAAATAACACAGACAATCATGCACATTCCAGAGTTGCAATATTGGTGCACAAAACAGGGTTTGCCCTAGAGAGCCAAAGAACTCCATACATATACTATACATAAAGTTTTGTTTGTCGTTTCCCAAAAAGAAGGTAAATTCTATACCAACTGCCAATTTATAGAAACCCAGCTCATCTAAGTAAATAGGTTTTTGTTCACTTGACTAATACTGATGTATGGTCTAGATTCTAAATCTAAAATCCAATCTCCCTTTAGGATTTTTACCATGATTTGATGACAAACTATAGCTGTGCCAAATACAGATTATTCCACCACTAGCTTTACTGAATAACTATTTCTAATTTCAAATGTCTATTTTTATCTCTTTCTTGCCTGAATTTTCTCTTTTCATCCTTTCCTCCGCTTGTTCCAAATACTCTGAGTCTCCTTAGTGTAGTTGTTCTGTAGACAAAATTTGTAGTTCTTAGAATTATGAATCTGGTAAAAGGGCTCATGTCCTCTAAGGAAGCAAAGACTTGGTGGCTGACTGACTGTAATCAGGCTCAGGATCCCCTTGGGGAGTATTTACAGAAATGGGGCCCTCGCTCGCTGAAGCCAGAGCCTGGAGAGAAGGGCCACAGGTGACAGGCATTAAAGAGGCCATCACAGCGCCGCCGTTTAAAAATACTATGCTAAATGTAATGTTTCAGATACATGGACAATTATTCACTCTCCCTTTCCTTCAACTAATATTCATTTGAGTTCCTATAATATGCCTAATACCAATGTAGGTATCAGGAATCTGTGGAGCACAAAACAGGAAAGAGACCTTGCCTATGGGAATTTATATTGTGGGGGCAGTATTCAAATAACAACAAAAATAAATAAATAAATAATATGTCCCAGACAGTAATAAGTTTTGTGAAGAAGAAAAAGGAAGTGGGGGAGGAGGTAGAAGAGGGGGAGGGAAACAGTGTAACAGCATGGTAACCAGCAAGGAATGTGGGGGGCCTCAGAAAGAGTGATTCCCAAAGTCTCTCTAAGGGAGGGATATTCATGCTGAGATCTGACTGATGATGAACAGGCAGCCGTGACTCTGGGGGATAAATGATCCGTGAGTCCTAGTAGATGGCATAGCTGACTCAAAGGCCCTAAAGTAAGAACAAACCTAGTGCATCCAAAGGACAATCTGTGCTACTCAAATTAACAGAAGCAGAAAATGTGGAAAGAGACCAAGTCAGTAAATAGGAGTGGCTCATTCATGCAAGGTTAAAATGACAGGGTAAAACGTTTGAATTTTATTCTGCGCACAATGGGGTGACAGTAGAAGGCTTGAAAGATCTAATTTCTGGATCTAATTTATTTTTGAAAGATCCCTCTGGCTGTTGTAGGGAGAACAAGGTTGAAAAGAGACAAGAACAGGTTAAAAAGCAGGAAGCCCACCTGAGAGAACTGCAGCTAAAAAATGACAGTGGCTGACACTATGGGGGAAAGCAGAGATAAGGAGACACTGACATATTCAGGATAGCTATGGAGGACAAGTCGCCAGCCCTTGATGAAGGATAACAGCAGAAAGGTGAGGAGCAACAAGGGAGAGAATCCTTTATCCCTTAAAGTTGAGAGAATGCAAAAGGAATTGTAAGAGCTAAAGGAATTTCCTTTTCAAGAAGAGAAGAATAGGTAGGAAAATGGTCATATAATCTGCAGCTTCTCTGCTTAATAACTCAATTCCAGAAGAATGGCGCTTCCTCTTAGCTGCCACAGGTGAGCATCCAACCCATTCACTGGCCCAGTGAGCTGCACACAGGTGGGCAGGTCAGCAGGCAGCCACGCAGTCAGCCCAGGTGGCAAGAGCAGCAACAAGCATGACCGAAGAGAAAATGAATTATTCCGCACTACGTGACCTAGTGACCTGAATCAGTAACCACCTTCCTTCACAGGCTTTCCTCTTAATTTGAGATGGCAGCAGGGCCAGAAAGTCAGCCACACAAACCCACAGACAGCTATGCTCATTAGAAATCAGTCATGAAAGGCTTAAGGGTGGGGCTGCTCTACAAAAGATTAAGACAAGTATTAACTAATTGCTCATAGACACTAATAAGAAAAGAAAGGCATAAGCAATATCCCCCTGTATCAGAGGGTCTTAGCATCAAAGTGGACCACTCGTGACTCAGAATCCTGGCCAATATTCGGCCCATGGTGCTTATGCTTTCATGGATTGGTGATTGATCAGATGGAATAGACTCTATCAAATATATTATTAACACAGTTGTTAGTTACAATAGAAATAACCTGGAAATTAAGACCAATAGACTTAGAAAGAAGGAAATTCACATTTAGTACATACGTTTAGATTTCTGTGAAGGACTGTTTCACTTAAACATTAGCAAACATTAGCTTCATCTAATCATACCAGAAAGCCTAGGAGGGAGATTCACTAACCCGCATGTTCTAGAAGAGGAAACTGAGAAGTTATGAAACCTGTGAAATCCACCATGGCACAACTGGGAAGTCCCACGAATAACCCTCCCTGCCCGGCAGCATCCGCAGTGAGCCTAGCTGTAAACGTGCAGTACAGGCGTGAGCACCAAGCCTTGGCAACTGCTGTTGTCTGAGGGTGTAATAAGTGTTGAGGAGGTCAAATATTCTTCCAATAAAAAAAGTTTTAACACCTGGTACCTTTACAGACCATTTCAGTTACAATAAATTGAAAAAGTTAAAATATCTACCAAAGATTTTTTAACATCTCATTTTGAAAAATTTCAAGATTACAAAAATATTAATAGTACAGTGACCACCCATATTAATTTCACAGCTCATGCTTTCCCATGTTTGCTCTTATCATATATACATAGTTCTTCTTGCCAAATGAGTAAATTGCAGACAGTATGACCCTCAATCCTAAATACTCCAGCCTGTGTCTCCTAAGAATTATGTTCCCTCAGCCCCCATACAATTACTAAATTCAGGAAATCTAATATCAATAAAAAAAAAGACTATCTAATTTGTGAAGTATAACAATAAAGCAAAACTGAAGGAACAAAATGGCAGCAGACTCAGAGACTCCAAGAATGAAGCGGGGTGTGGGAGGGAGGGAGAAGGGGATTGCAGGGTATCATGTTTAGTACACATGGTGTGGGGGATCACGGGGAGAACAGTGTAGCACAGAGAAGGCACATAGTGGATCTGTGGCATCTAACTTCACTGATGGACAGTGACTGCATTGGGGTATGGGGGGAATAATGAGTAAATGTAGTAACCACATTGTTCTTTCATGTGAAACCTTCATAAGAGTGTATATCAATTATACCTTAATAAAAAATTTTTTTAAAAAAGACTATCTAACATGAAATCCATATTTGTATTTCATCCATTGTCCTAATTATAACCTTTGTGAAGACAATGCCATGAGTTCTGCAGAATATTCCTCAGTTTGGGTTTGTCTGATCCGAGAATCCTCTTTTACATATACCTCAAGGTATACCTTTTGCAAATAAAAAACTGTTTGAAAAATTGTTATCAAAATATACCAGAGGAAAGGTACATGCTGTGTTTGGGAGCTGATTCTCCTGTTAAAGTGTCTCTTCCCATTCGAATCAACTTTTCCTTAAAATTATGACTCACAGGATTTCCTATTTTCACAGCTCACTTGTTCTTGCCAAGGTTCAAACAAAAACACCAGATTTATCTATCCTAACTTTCAAAGCCATTTCTGAAACCTTAGCCTTAAAAGCCTCACCTTCACCTGCAGCAGTCACGTGCAGGGTTCCTTTACCTGCATGCACTCATGGCTCTCGGGCTCCTGTCCAGGCTAGATGTCTGTTTTCTGTGTTCGCCAATCCCTTCTGTATCAGAAATGCATTCTACAGGCAATAAAGAGAAAGACCAAGCAATGATGGCTTAAATAAGTAAGAATTTATTTTTCTCCCATAAACACAGTCCAGATGTTAAGTGTTTGCTGGCGTTAGATGACCCGGCGACACATGCCATTAGGGTCTTGGGCTCTTTCAACCTTCCCCCTCCACCTCCCAACGTGCAGTGGTCATTATGTTAAACACTTACCTCCCAGTGCAGTGATGGCTGCTGCAGCTCCAGACAGTAAGTCCAAGATCAAAGCAGGAAGAACGGGAAGAGTGGCATGAAAATCCACTTTCCCTTTTTATCAGGAAAGCAATTGCTTTTCCAGAAATTCTCCAAGAAGACTTCCACATCCTACATTTCATTGGCCAGAAAGTGGGCCAACGGGGTTTCCATTACTACTGAGGCCAGTCACCTCCTCTTCTAGGACTGAAGGCACTGTCACCACCATCTTTGAATGATTTCAAGAGAAGGGCAGATGACCCCAGAATAGAAAATGATCAGAGATGAAGTCAGTTCCAAGGTATAATTACCTCAATCATGAAAAAAGTGAAAAAAGAAGATATGCACAGAAACTTTCATAAACCAAAAAAAAAGGGAGGCTGAAATAAGAATGATTTTTATGGGCTCATACGAATATGGGGGAAATAGCAGAGACTCAGGGGTTAAGAACATGTATTCTGAAATCAGACAGACCTGAATCTGAATCTCAGATGGCCACTTACTCGTTCTGTGATCCCCAGCAGTTTGCTCCTCTTTGCCTTACCTTCTAAACTGAAAAGTCATAATATTAATAATTATTTAATAGAATTGTTATGAGGATGAACTTAAATACAACATGTAAAGTGCTTAGCCTGATGCCTAAAATATAGTAAATGCTCAAAAACATGAAAGAAAAAACAGAGTGAAAGGTTAATGTAATGGACTCTTAGGTATAAAAAAGTAGTTGCAGCCAGCTGGGGATGCTTTGACCATAAGGCTGAAGTGTAATCAAAAGGAATCCATTAAAAATTTATTACCTGGATGTTAGTTAATACAGATGGGAATCACAGTTGAGAAAGTAAAATTAAAAATGAGGTTTGAACAGAGAGCTCTGAAGAAGTACAACTACCCTTGATTGAAGATCTTTATTTCTCGGTTGCACAACAATCAATAAAACTGTGTAATCAATAAAACTGACTGCTGTCACACCAGTGAGTGGGAATAAGTGTGATGGTTGGAGGGTTGAGGAAAGAGTTTTTTCATAGTTAGAAACATATTCTAGAAATGTATAAATACAAAACTCGGAAAATTCAGAAATCTCGGCAACAGTATTGCTGGGAATTATGTACATTCATTCAGAAGTTCTTACTGAATCCTTCTCATGGCAGAATACTAAGCCCTAAGCAATGTTTATAATAACATCTCACCCAACTGAAGAACACTTATCCTAAAACCTCAAAAATTTTGATTCTTGAGAATCCAGACATTAAGGAAAAGTCTTACCCTGTGGGTTTGAACAGAGAAGGAATAAAATAATCACCCAGGAGTCTGGGATAGTTAATGGAAGGGTAAACAACTTCAGGGCTGCATTAGAGGCCCCCAGTGTTCAGGTCCTGATGTGACATGGGTCATGTGCTTTACTCCTGTTGTGTTTAGCCACATAAGCGCATGTCCAAGAGAAACAGAGTTGTAGGTAACTGAGGTTGTGGCTTTGTCACAAAGTTAGTCTAAAAGGGTATGTTTTAAACGTTGCAAATTAACAAAAGACAGATTCATAAACCTCAACTACCTTTTTTAGAAAGCTGCTTATTTACTCAATAAAACTTTGCCCAGTGCCTCTCAGGTATAGCCCGTTAGTGAGCAGTCAGAAGGGACCAAGCAGCTCTTCCCCGCCTGCTGGATGGACTAATCCTGCAGTTGGCTTAAAGTGCTTCCTTCCTCCAAAAAGTATTTACATGGTAGCAGTTTAGCAGCCTTTGAACAGATAAAGGTTGGAATTTATCTCAGTGACCTATAATTCTGGAAAGAACCCATTTAAAATGTATTTTGTAGTCTACAATGCTTGATTTAAATCTGTTTTTAAAAATACACACAATAGAATATGTCATTTTTAAAATGTAGCTCTAATGACTCACACTGGAAAATGTAGAAAAGAACTTAAACATATGTGAAACAAATAGTACAACTCCTTTTAGGAACTTAGAGCAGAATCATGGAACTTCTTTTGTTTCCTTATCATTAAAATCAACTTGAATACCCATTTCTGCATAAAGTAGAAAATCTACTTCTAGGAAATCCATTCTTCTGTTTTCTTCCAATTTTTTTCCTTGAATATGTTTGGGTTAACATTTTGCCAGTTCAAGGCTCTCCATCTCCTAGGTCTCCACTCCAGGAGTGATCTAAGTTGGGCCATGCTTTCTGTGTCATCTAGGCTCTGGTGGGAGGGGCAACTGTTTGTGGCCCCCTATGTCCACCACTGGGTCATTCATAAAGGAAGCCACACACCATCCTCAGTTCTTGGTCCTCTGCCCCATCATATCTGTTGCAGAGGTGTCTGCTCCCCCAGGCTCTCCTGACACATGCCTTATTACATGAGTCTTATGGTCAGTCTGCATTTTCTACCTCCACGCATGACACCCCTCTCAGTCAGCTAGCTCATTCTTGGCTACCTCTGTCCCCTCTGGAGAGCACAGTAAACTTCAGGACTCTCTTCCATTCCAGTCCAGGATTTCAGAAAATACAGGATTGTAAAAAGGGCCTCTTGGAAACATACCACATCTCACTTTCTTTTCTGCTGTGGATACACTATGTGATGGGGGATGAAGAAGGTCTGCTGAGGTTTTATGATCTCTTTGCTTCCTACTACTTTTTGATCCTCCCTCCAGATTGTCTGTCTGGTCTCAGCCCAGGGGAATAGAGGTTCCCTCTAATCCATGTTCTCCCCACTTCTGATGGATGCCTATATCTTTGGGAGGCAGATCAACTGCCTCATCATATGCTGAATCAGTCAAGTATCTATCAGAGTAACAGAACCAGTCAGAAATATGTACATACTGATTTTCCTTTACATAATAATGATTTTTGTTTACATTATTTACATATATGCTTATATGTATATGTGTAAATGGATATATTTGTATAGATCAATAGATATGGATATACAATGATTTATTTAAAGGAATTGACTTACACATGGGGTCTGGCTGGGCAAGTTTGAAATCCATAAGGCTAAAAACTCTCAGGAAGGAGTGGACACTATGATCCATGAGTAGAATTTCTTCTTCTTCAGGAAAATCTCAAGTTTTGTAATTAAGACATTCAACTGATTAGATGAGGTCCACCCATATTATCTAAGGTAATCTCCTTTACCGACAGTGAACTGATTGTAGCTGTTATCCACATGTACAAAATGCCTTCACATTAACCTATATTAGTGTTAGATTGAAAAGCTGGGTACTATTGTCTGGCCAAGTTGACACATAAAACTAAGCATCACATATGCATTCTTCCCACTCCATGGTTCATGTGTAAACTCTATGTTCTAAATCTTCCATACAAATCAGCCTTTTGGAGCTTAAGAAACCCAATCTCTATCAAAAATCTTGGCTCTTGCGATGGAAACCCAAGCTGTCTATAATATTGCCTCAGAGGATTTTGGGACGATGGCGGAGTAGAAGAAGCCTGAATTCACATTTTCCCACTTACACACTAAGCTACTCTTACACACTGAGCATTTCATCCAGAAGAAGAACAGAGACTGATGTGAACACCTCCTATACAATGAGGGACAGAAAGAGCACACACAGAGACAAAAAGAAACAACCCAGCCGGAGAGACAGAGAAACAGTAACTGGGGTACTCCACCCCCAGCACAGTGACCAGGAGAGGGGAGAGGGTGGGGTGTCCCTGACAGAACAAGCAGGGACTCCCTGTGCAGGAAGAAAGCCTAGCTGCTTTAAGTGCAACTAGACCACAAGTGAAAGAACCCAAATTTCAGAACTAAACATCCACCGCTTGGCAAGGACACTGTTGGAGGCACTCCAGGATCAGAGCAGCCAGCAGTGCCATTGTCTGTGCTTCTTGCACACATCTTAGTGCAGCCAAGAGCAAGATCCAAGCACACAAACCAATCTCAGACTCGGTCTAGGTAGTGCCCTGCAGGAGATCCAGCAGTCCTGCCTTGCTGCCCATTCTTATCAACCAGTCTAGCCCCAGAGCAGGACCAGAAAGTTTCCCAGCTCACAGGGAGTGTGCACAAAACTGTCGGTTGGTGTTGCCAAGGCAACTTCCCAGAGCACCACAGGGGAACAGACATGCAAGGCTGATGCCTGGCCCCCAGTGGAGTCTAGCAGGCACTGACACAGGAATTCCCCAGAGCAGCCCAGAGCACACAGGGTCCATGCAGGAATAAAGAAGACATCAGTCAGAGAAGGACATTGCATAATAATAAAAGGATCAGTCTAACAAGAGTATTTAATAATCATAAACATCTATGGACCCAACATAGGAGCACCTAAATATATAAACCAAATACTAACAAACCTGGGGAAGAAATTGATAGCATCACAAAAAGAGGAGGGGACTTTAACGCCCTACTTAAATCAATGGCTAAATCATCCACACAGAAAATAAAAAAGGAAATGGTGGCACTGAATGACACATTAGACCAGATGGACTTAACAGATATATACAGAACATTCTACCCAAAAGCAATGAAATACATATTTTCTCAAGTGCACATTGAATTTTCTCCAAAATAGATCACATATCAGGGCACAAAATAAGCCTCAACAAATTTAAGAACACTGAAATTTTATCAAGCATCATCTCAGACCACAGTGGTATGATACTAGAAATGAATTACAAGGAAAACAACTGGACAAAATAACACAAAACATGTGGAAGCTAAACACCATGCTTCTCAAAAAATCAATGGATCAAGTAACAGATCAAAGAGAAAATCAAACAATACATGGAGACAAAATAGAATACAGAAACACAACAGTTAAAAATATGTGAGATGCTGCAAAAGTAGTTTTAAAAGGGAATTACATAGCAATATAGGCCTACCTCAAGAAACAAAAACAATCTCAAATGAACAATCTAACCTTACAACTAAAGGAACTAGAAAAAGAATAAAGCCCAAAATTATTAGAAGGAAGGACATAATAAGGATTAGAGTGGAAATAAATAAGAGACTAAGAGAACAATAGAAAAGTCAATGAAACCAAGAGCTTAATCATTGAGAAGATGAACAA